TTTTGATATTAGCATTATTAATTGCAATCCTAATGCGAACCCAATACTTATAACATTGATTTACTTTTACAAAAAAAAACGACATAACATTCCTATGTTTTTATTATCTTTTTCCGTTCTAACTGGTTTATCTTGCAGCGTTTTTTGTTCTTGATTTGCCATTTTTGTATGATTTCGTTCCAATTAGTTTTATTCACTTTGCATCATCTGATCATCCAAATGAACACTAACTATCATTTATATAAAAAAAATGTTTTTCTTTGTTCTCTTAAGAGCATTGGGACATCTCAACCAACAGTAAAACTTATTTAATAGAAATAAATATTTTGTCTTCTATTTACGTCTTCAGGGTATCAAAGTGAATCGCAAGTATTATTTCAAAGAAATTAATATTTTTATTTCTTTTACTCAGGTCTCCGAAATATACAAGTCAATGTTAACCATTTCTTTAAAGCAATAGATATTTTTTTCCTTTATTTAGGTGTTCGCCATATTCAAATCAATCATAAGTATTTTTTCAAGAAATAAATATTTTTTCTTTTGTTTAGGTCCTCAGAATATTCAAATTGATCGTAACTATTGTTTTAAACACATAAATACTTTTGTTCTTTGGTTTAGATCTTTGAAATATTCATATCAATCGTAAGTCTTTTTTTAAATAAATATTTTTTTTATTTCGTATAGGTCTTCGGATTATTGAAATCGATCATAAGCATTTCTTTAAAGAAATAAATATTATTTTTCTTTTGTTTACGTCTTTCGAATATTCATATTAATGGTAAGTGTTTTTTCAAGATACAAATTTGTTTTTCTTTTCTTTAAATCTTTGGAGCATCTAAATCGATCGTAAGTATTTTTTTCAAAAAATAAATCTTTTTTTTCTTTGATGTAGGTCTGTCTCGATAACAAAATAGTCTTGATGAGTATTGGAAATATAAGTGATGCTGTTTGCTGCCTATGGAAAAAAAATCCATCGCTGTCGGGTTGCACCAGAAACATATTGCCTTCGTGCGCAATGGTGGGGTATATGTCGAGACGTAGTGATAGTAGTATGTGAAAATAAGTGATGTTGCAATGTAGATGTCATTACCAAGGTCCTGAGTCATGATATGTTTTTATCAATATTACTTGCTATTTTATCTCTTCTGAAATCTGACGTCACTAAATAAAATGACGAGATTTTGAAATAATATGGTTTATTTTGAAAAAGAGATGTTGCAATGTAGATATCATTGCCAAGATCCTGAGTGATGATATGTTTTTATCAATATTGCTTGTTATTTGCTCTGTTCTTTTTCTTTCTTTGCTTATAAAAGAAGAACGCAAAACTGAAATGTATTCGAATATGAAAATATATCAAAACACGCAGGTAAAACTTTTATTCTATTGAGAGCTGATAATTCAACATTAAACTCATGTCAATCGAAAATCAATTAAAAACTATCAAACATGTTTATTCAACAGTTTATCATGATGAAGAACGATGCATGCAGGATGCGACTTTATTACCTATTAACAATGCAATAGTATATCCAAATAATAAAATCTTATATAAAAAATCAGATAATACAATTGATTTTATCGATATATCTCGTATCGATAAATCTATTTTTTTTTGATAAAGGTTCCAATCAAGATACTGTTTATGATAATGTCAACCAAAAATATAATATGGCTAAAAATAAATTAAATTTTAATCCAGATGAATATCAATTGGAAATGGCCGATAGTGGTGATAAATTTATTTTGAATTTAATTGATGATAAATTGCCAACCATAATTGCAATTTCGGATATTTTTCCAACATATTTCGATCTTGGATTATGTTCAAAGAATTCAATTCCAATTTGTTTAGATTATAGTCGTAGAACACTTGATAAGTTAAAACATTCTGGTGATATTACTATAGCTAGTCCAACGGGTAATTCATTATTACATTGTATATCTGGGAAATTCAATAGTGGAATGAAATATGTCACTATCATTTCCGGATACACCAATACGCCATTATATCGATATATCGAAAGACGACCAATTGTAACAATTCTTGATCATGAAAAAAAGAAAATCTATGTTGTCTCTGTCCCATTAGATGAATTTACTATTGGGCAATCGACAATATGTTTACCGGTTAGTATTACATGTTTGAATGATAATGGAAATCAAAAATTATTAATTGAAATTTTTTCAAATACAAAATCTTGTGATAGTTATTTACCAAATTTATCACAATTTGCTCAGGATACAATTACTGAATCAATCAATATGATTAGTTCCGACGAACCCATCGAAGAATCAATCAATGTAACAAAGGAAATAATTCTTCCATATCAATCAACAGTATTAAATCATCCACAATGTCAAATATCATCAATGGGAAAACATTCTGTTCTAATCTATAGTGGTATTGATGAAATTGATTATTTTACAAAGAAAATCAATCCGAAGATATTAATTCGATCAATGAATACACATATTATATATGAAAAACGAGATGATCAATATGAATTACATTCTCAATATCATAATATGAATTCAAATGAAGAATTAGATATTGGTCAACAACATTTTCCAAATTTATTACCAATGGAAGGTGGTGCAATTCTTTTCGCAAGTAAAACTGTGCCAAAATTAAATTCAAATCAGAATACCATTGATAAAATTCGTCAAATCATATTTGAAAATACAATTCCAATATTTATTATTGGTAAAATGGATGATTTATGTCGTAAAGTATCAACGAAATTAAAAATCAATGGGATTTACATATGTCTTGTCGATTATCCCGGTGATGACATCATGATAGATGATATAAAACGAAATCATTTTTTAGAAAATACATGTATGAATGGTGTGACAGCCTATGCTGGACCATTATCTCTCGTTATTATTGCTATGATGAATCCAAATACAAATAATTTCCAATATTTTTACGTTGATGGCATACAATACGAAAATTTCATCGATTCTATCCCATTCTTTGGTACAGATATAACAACGATTATCGAAACTAAAATGATAAATTATATTCAAAACAATGTATTTGAGAAATCGATTGTGAATATTAGTGAAGAAATTGTTTTATTTAATAATGAATTCATCTCATTTTCTAGTTTTAAAAATCAAATGATTGCAATGACATTAAATGAGATTATTAATAATAAATATCAAATTCTTGATGTTATATCTCAATGTCAAAGAATCTATGATAATGAAATCATGAATCAATATTCGAATGAATTGGTTTTATTATTAGAAAATAAAATTAATCAAGTGATTAACGAATATAAAAAATCATTCAGTAATATTCTCGAATTAGATTTGAATAATAAACAAAAACTAGCCAATGAATCAAGTAAAGTCAAAGAATTAATTCGAAAATTAAAACGAAATACTCAAGAACTAGTTGATAAAATTGGTTTAGCTATATCAAAACGAAAACAATCATCTATTCGATTCAATTTAGCTCAATTAAAAAAAAAGGAAACAATTCGACAAAATGTTCAAAGAGCAATGAACATGTCCTATAACGATTTTACAGATTTATTAGAAAAATTATGCGACGAATCAGGAGTATTATGGCTCAATTTAGATTATAATAATTTGATTCTAATGTTAAAAGCGATAAAAGATAATAAAATTGGTAAGTATCTCACTAAGCCAGTATTATCACTGATTAACTGTCGAAATGGTGATTTTAATATTGATTCATTTACCATATCTTTATTATTGGAACAAACTGCATATGAAAGATTAGATCCTATAAGACCACAACAAACGATTGATATTGTAACGAGTTTGCCAGTATCAGCTACTTATGAAGGTTTAAGAACAAGTTCATGGTTTTTTCCTTTAATTGATAAATATAAAAATTTGGAAATCCCATATAATTTAAATTGGATAAATGAAGCAAATGACAGTGATGTAGCTGCATTTCGTATTATATCAAGAAATACAATAGCAACGGCTTCGATATTGAGAGATTTACAATTGAATATCCAACCACAAGATAAGAATATTACCTGGTTTTTAATATATATTACATTAGCAGCTATTGATGAATTAGTTAAACAAAGAAAAAATGATGATGATATGAATCATTTTAATGATACATTTACGATTAATATTCGATGTTTAATCTGTAACTTATTAACATATACTGCTTCCGGGAATGTTCCCGCTTCGTTTGTATGGCAATTATTTAGTAATAATATCCGTCCAGATTTACCAAAAGAAAATTTCGAATGGGGTATCTATGTTCGACTTATTGAATATGTTGAATATAGTGGATGGGATTTAAATAAATTAAAAACTAATCTTCGAGCATTATTATGTAGATTATTGAATAAAATTATTATCAAAGCTACAGAATCCTTCCGTGAAAGTGAAGCGAAATTAAAAAAAGAGAAATCCAAGGATCATCTTGTTAAAATGCATAAAATATATTATCCTTATTACGAGAAAATGGTTCGCTATTGTAAACATATACTAGATACAAATGAACCAATCGAAAATGAGAAAATTACTGAAATATTAAATGTATTAAGTGAATTTAATAATCGTCGATATCGTGTTGGTAGTATTCATCAATTATCAATGCATCTTAAAAAAAATTTCAAAAATAAAATCTTTATTGATCAATTAATTAATTGTATATTATATAAATGGGATAATTATGATAAAAAATATAAATTAAAACTATCAGAATTTGTGAAAAAAACATTTTTTAATTCTTCATCTGATCACGAACAAGAATTAGATGTTAAATCTATACAAAATCAATTGGATGATTTTCGATTAAAACTAATTGAAGAAAGACCAAAGATGTTGTCGATGATTAATAAAGAAATTCAACCAATTACAAATTATGAGGAGATTCAGAAATTATTTACGCTCATTGAAACATCGATTCAAAATAAGAAAAAATTATCAGTAGAAGAATTGAAAAATCTTCGCACATATCTTGATGATATTTACAAAAATGAGAATAAATTATGGCAACCTTTCAATCCATTTCCACAATTTATAAAAAAAAATAATCTTGAAATTTATTTTGATAATAATGCAAACGATACTGACAATGAAAAAGAAAAAGTCGAAGAGAATCAAGATATTGTTTTATATAAAAACATATTCAAAGAACATTATTATGGTATTATAGAACAAATTGCTAATGATTCATCGAATATGAGATTGAATTCTATCATAGAATATACAGCATTTAATTCAATAGAGGAATTTATTACACTAGCGAAGTTTGCTGGATTTGGACAAACATTTGAAGAAATTGCTCATACAGTCAAAATAATTTTGCATTCATTAATTATTAATTGCAAAAAATCAGCAGATGTAGCAGAATTTATTGTACTGGAACAATTTGTTTGATTTTATATTTTACAATGCTAAAAAAATGAAATAACAAAACGCACGTTTTTGCCGATATACTTTGTATTTCCTTTCTTTGTCCTTAACATTTTCTATACAGTTAAGAGTGTATTTTGTATGCAATAAGCTCGAATATAAAATAAGAGAAATGAAATAATGGCGCATCATTATTGTTATATTTATATCGCGATCAGTCATACGTCACGAGTACTTTTAGAATAAATCATACGCTATTATTATATCGATGCAGGAAAAAGCCTTATATAAAAGCTTGTTGAGTGATGCAAATGTATATTTATAAATAAACAAGTAAATCATAGTCCAATTTGAATGTGGTAAAGAAATAATCCACATAATAGGTAAGTTCGCATTAGATTTTGGAGAACATTCACATCTTTTTTTCAAACAAATTAACGTGTTTCTGAATGGATAATCGACAAAGACGTCTTACAATGAATGAACATAGTAGTACATAACGAAGAAATCCATACGATAGGGAGCATGTTTGTTTTTACAAATCAAGTGTGAAGTGAGTTATATATTTATTAAAACGATATTACCTTTCATATTCTATAGTATATCGTAAATTCCGAGACTATGAGACTTGAGGATCAGAGAATTATTATCTTGACGACAGTTGTGAAGTTTTCAACCTCTTCTCACCTTAGTTAGCTTCTATACAAATAGAGCTATAGGAGACATGGTGTCAATAACAGAGCCTATCAGGTAAGATCTGTACCCGGGTTTGAAGATTTCTTGTCAATTGAATGTAAACAAACACTCCACAATGATACCTACCATCCGAAAAAACTTAGTTGATCGAATTTCGATGTGCTCAGGTTCAGGTGGATGACAATGATCACCTTTACTTTTCAAGATAACATCCTGAATATCGGTGTGTATAGTCATGTTACAATGTGGATCTTCACATCGATAATAGTTCTTTGTACTTGTCGTTTTATTCAATTTAAATATAAAACCATCAAGCACCAACATCTTTTTCCCTTTTTGTGAAAGAACAAAGGATACTGTATTGAAAGGAACGCTCATTGTATCTAAAATTACAAGTCCAATAGTGGTTTATTAGTGAAATCTTAATGAAAAACAAATTAATGATGATTAACATTAATCCACTACATTCGTAGATATATGTACCTAGTAGTTGAAGAATGGATACATTTAAGAAATCGAGCCAACCAAACAAGGATGTTTTAATTATCGCATTCTAGCAACATCTAATGATTGGTCATTCTTTTCTATTCTACTTTTAAATTTCATTAAGACTTTCTCATTCTATATTTTTTCTGTTCTATATTTTTCCATACGGCATTTTTTTCCCTACTCCTTCCTTTTCAACGTTTGCTTATATGTTTCTTCGCTATTTTTCCTTTCGACATTTTTCCTTGCTGCCTTTATCCATCCATTCTGCTGCGATTAGCATTGATTATTTTCTTTTGATTGAGAATGACGGAACGGTTGCCATGTCGATTATTCAACAGTAAAAAAAGCAAGGTTTGCTGTTTTTGACACACAATTGTTTGCCAGTATCGAAATATAGAGCAAGGAAAGTGAATCATGCTCTATTTGAATCCCGCAAGAGTTTGGTTGACAGTTTTTTTATTTTGTTTAAAAAGTTTACTTGGACTTGATATTTAAGTTCGTATGTCTCTTTAGCAAGCAGAACAACATTGACAACAATCCTGACACGTACAACGACGACAACCATCAACAATGAATGTTGCATCTGTGTGAACATTTTTGATGCATTGATATAAGCCAAATCTTCTTGTAATAAAATCAGTTTTTCATTGAGAAACAGCATACAGACGAAAAAAGCTTTTCTCGTTTATTGCGTGTTTCATAGCACTTTCATCACAACTATCAAATGCTTAGTTTTTTGTGGATAATATGTCCATTGATCGTTATCTTCATATAAGTACACTCATCTCACAAGACAATAGTGTTCTTATCACGAGTAAAATTTCTGGCACTGTTGAATTAGCATCAACAGAAAAAATATGTGCTGTCAACGGACTGTTTTCAGCTGAGTGGGAGTATATCATCAGTACGCTACTAT